GAAGGAATACACAGAGTCATTGTACCAAAAGGAAATGGTTAATGTTCAACCATTTCAAGACTCTGACTCTGCCTTCCCTCTATGTCTCTTCTCTCCTTATACGGACATCCTTCAGATGGCATTAGGACGCATCTTACTCCAGTCCTGGCCTCATGTTAACCTAACTGATAGCATAGTCAAGACCCAATTTCTAAACAAGTGCATATTTACAGGTACCAGAGGTTAGAATGTCATCTCTTTTTTGGGGACACTGTTGAATGATGCATAAAACTTCAAAAGATGATGGAAGAAGTACACAGAGTCACAGTACCAAAAAGAAATGGAAGATGTTCAACCATTTCAAGAGGTAGCATATGATCAAGAGCCATGATACTGAAGGAAGAAGTCCAAGGTGCATTGAAGGCAATTGCAAAGAACAAAGCCCCAGAAATTGATGGAATACAAACTGAAATCTTTCAACAAACTAATGCGGCACTGAAAGCACTCATTCATCTCTGCCAAGAAATTTGGAAGACAACTACCTGGCCAACTGATTGGAAGAGATCCATATTTGTGCCCATTCCAAAGAGAGGTGACCCAACAGAATGCTGAAATCATCAGGCAATATCACTAACATCACATGGAAGTAAAAATTTGCTAAAGATAATTTAAAAATGGCTGCAAGCACACATTGACAGAGAACTTCCAGAGGTTCAAGCCGGATTCAGAAGAGGCCGAGGAATGAAGGATATCACTGCTGATGTCAGATGGATCTTGGCTGGAAGCAGAGAATACCAGAAAGATGTTTATCTGTTCTTTATTGACTATGCAAAGAAGTTTGATTGCATGGGTCATGACAAGCTCTGGAAAACATTGCCGAGAATGTGTATTTCAGAACACTTAATTGTGCTCATGAGGACTCTGTACATAGACCAAGAGGCTGTCGTTCAAACAGAACAAGGGAACACTGAATGGTTTAAAATGAAGAAAAGTCTGTGCCAGGGTTGTATTGTTTCACCATACTTATTCAATCTATATGCTGAGCAAATAATTCGAGAACCTGGTTTATAAGAACATGGCATCAGGCTTGGAGGAAGACTCATTAAGAGTCGATGATACAACCTTGCTTGCTGAAAGGGAACAGGACTTAAAATACTTACTGATAAAGAGCAAAGACCACAGCCTTGTGTATGAGTTGTAACTCAATGTAAAGAAAACAAAAATCCTCACAACTGGACCAACAAATAACACCATGATAAATGGAGAAAAGATAGAAATTGTCAAAGATTTCCTCTTGTTTGAGTCCACAATTAATACTTATGGAAGCAGCAGTCAAGAAATCAAATGATGTATTGCATTAGGCAAATCTGCTGCACAAGACTTCATTAAAGTGTTCAAGAGCAAAGATGTCAGTTTGAAGACTAAGGTGCTCCAAGCTATGTTATCTTCATTAGCTTCATATGCATTTGAAAGTTGGATGGTGAATAAGGAAGACAAAAAAAGAATTGAGGCATTTGAGTTATGATGTTGGAGAACAGTATAAAAGGTACCATGAACTTGTAGAAGAACACACGAATCTATATTGGAAGAAGTACAACCAGAATGTTCCTTAGAAACAGAATGGCGAGACTTCATCTCTTGTACTTCAGATGTATTATCAGGATGGACCTGTCCCTGGAGAAGAACATCATGCTTGGTTAGGTGGAAGGTCAGGGACAAAGAGGAAGCCCTCCAATGAGAAGGACTGTCACAGTGGCAGCAGTAATGGGCTCAATTCACAACACTGATGAGGGTGTCGCAGGACCATGCAGTGTTTCCTTCTGAGTTGGAACCGAATCAACATCATCTAATGACAACATCAAGCCAAACAACACCCAGTAGGTGAAGGGGATGGGAGTGCTGGCATGGAAAGGGGGATCCTTCTGTAGTCAGCATTGTAGCCTGTCAGGAAATCCCCCCACAGCTAGACGTGAGTGACAGAGTCTTGGACTGCGGCCTTCTCCATTCACTCATTTCCCTGTGAAAAGCGACATTTCTATAACATGTAAGCCTCAGTGGACCCCTAGTTCTAAAAGAATTGGGAAGAAAAATTCCTGATTCAAAGCTGGATTAATAATGGAAACCTTTTCATTTCCAACAGCCCTTGTTCTCATACTGTATCAGATAATACCATGGTTTGGGGAAGATCATATAGTAGCCTCATATTGCCACAGAAAGGACATGTGGATCATCCCCCTTCCTCCCACCCCCATCCCATTGTATTCTGGGATCTTGCCCCTCGCTTGCCTGTAGCTGCTTTGATGTGTGACCTGTGAAAGGGACCTTTTATTTCTCCTTCCAGGATCAGATATCCACGGCTCTTCAGCCCCCATTCCCCTGCCCTGTCTGACTGAGAGGAGGGTCCAGAGAGATTCTGGAGTGGGTGGGCAGGAAATCAGCCACCTGAAGCTGATGTCCAAACAGGTGCTCATCTGCTAATGAAAAGGTTGCTAGTCTGAGCCCAGCCAGAG